TAACGGATTCGAGTATAATTAGAAATGATAATTAACATCCTGGTTTAAAAGGGAAGGCTTGGTTTTTATTGATGTAGTTGTAGAGAGTAGCAGCGCAAGCGGAGTTACGGGCAAAAACTAGTTAAAAAATATGATTTCCATATTAGTGGCCTATAAATAATATACAAATTTAGGCCCTAAACATTATGCTTTTCATGCTCTATGTTATTTTTGTTTCTCTTTACATATGTATGTATGAACATACTTAAAATTACTACAACATTGTGATTTATACTTATGGGCTTTTTGTAGGCTACAGAAAACCTACAGAAGGAGGCTTTGATTAGCTCGGAAAGCATAACAAGTAATAGTTATTAAAAACATAAATGTGATACTTTCTTAGATTTACGCGAGTGTTTGACATTTTACATAAACCTATATTTTCGGATTTTTTCGCAGATTTATTTTGATTTTTGGTTCCCGACCTTTCGAATGCTTTATTTAGAGCAATCATGGTCGCAGGAGAGACCCTGTCTACCAAAATCAAAAATCCGAATGGATAGATAAATTTTAAAAATAAATGTACTTTACTGTGATAGTCGATTAGGTGAAAAAGTCCAGCTTTACCTCGTACATATGCTTATCACCGAGCTCTAACCCCACCTATAACATATCATAAAAATAAAACTTGGGCCGATAGTTGTGGGAAGAAAAATTAAGAAACTGCAGGCAGCAGAAGTAAATAAGTACAAGTAGTTGCGACATTACCGCAATATTTTTTCAATTGCACAAAGTCGGTTTTCTCAGAAGAAAACTTTATGTTTTAGCTGAAAACAAAGAAGCTGCGGTGACGTTGGTTGTGCTCGTTTTTTGTATTGTTATGTAAGTAGGTTTGTTACAAAGGGAAGGAAAGTTTATAAGAATTTTAAAGTAACTGGAAACGTATACAATGTGCTTTAAATTAATTTTATTTAAAACTAGCATTGCCCGCGGCTCCGCCCACGTTCTGATGACCAAAAATCAAATTCTTAGGTTTTACATATTAGTTTACTCTTACATTGCAGTTTTTGTATTTTTTCTCAAAAATGAGATATTTTCCTGCGGTAAAAAGTATCCTATATGTTGACTCGGATAACCAGCTACCATCATACCAAATTTCATCAAAATCTGTCCAGTGGTTTTTTCGTGATGCGGTAAAAGACAGACAGACAGACAGACAAAAATTCTAAAAACTATAGATTCGCACTCTGTATCGATAATAATGTCTATTTCAATTAGATTTTCCAAAAAATATTTAATGTACAGATACGACTCTGTTAGAATTTTATTATATGTATAGATTTCCTTCACTTTTAGTAAAATAATAGAGGATTTGAATAAAATATAGAAAGCTTTATGAACTTACTTTTGGTTGTTTATTATTTTATTAATAAATTCAGATGACAACACTATAATTTTCTATCATAGACTTTATAATGTCATGGTGGGTACCAAAAGTACGGTTATGGTAAAAGTATGGGTTATTTTTGAATTCATTTCGTATGTCTCGATGACTTTTCTACATACCGGTGGCAAGAATGCATTGAGGTATGTATTATACTGATGCCATCTATTAGTAGGGCCAGAGGTCGCGGATTCAAATTTTTATGAAGATGTATATTTGTACTGTTAGTAGATAATTTGTACAATTATGTAAAACCATAAAGTTTGGTATTAAATCCTAATACTAACAGCCTACTCTGGTTTAACTTCTATTTTATTCAATCTGCCAGCATTCATTCGAAATATTCCCATACCATTTTGTTGTTTGTTTTTTTTTTAAAACCAATTATCGCTTCTTAAGTTATTATGGAAGTACGCTACGTGATTGTGAACAAGTCAGGACAAGCAATAGAAAATATTTATATACCAAATCACTTCACTATTGGAACAATATAGCAAAACATACACTGCAATAGAGTACCTCTTTCCTCTCGAAGTCGGACAAAAATCACATATAAAACTTCATTTTTATTTAGTGGTAAAGCGAAATGAAAATTTCTTAAGAACATTCATCTTGAAAAATTATTATTTTACATCACGAGGTATTCTTATATTTTAGGGTCTACACTTAATTTCCCGAATTTCGCAGTCGTGATACCTTTTGTGACGTCTGCATTAATCTTGCGTTGACGCGAAGTGCGTGACATTCGGGTTTTCCCTAAAATTTCTACGTTTCTTTTGTCATTTGTATTTATGCGATGAATGACGCTATTTACTTTATTCAAATTAAGGGAACATAATGTTAGATATACTATATAGATTTTCTCGTCAAAAATAAGATGATGGAAAACGTTAATAAAGAAAATTATTTAGAACTAGCATTACCCGCGGCTCCGCCCGCGTTCAGATTACCAAGAACCAAATTCTTAGGTTTTACATATTAGTATACTCTTAAATTGCAGTTTTTGTATTTTTTCTCAAAAATGAGATATTTTCCTGCGGTAAAAAGTATCCTATATGTAGACCCGGATAACCAGCTATCATCATACCAAATTTCATCAAAATCTGTCCAGTGGTTTTCTCGTGATGCGGTAACAGACAGATAGACAGACAAAAATTCTAAAAACTATAGATTTGGACTCTGTATCGATAATAATGTCTATTTCAATTAGATTTTCCAAAAAATATTTAATGTACAGATTCGACTTAGTTACAATTTTATTATATGTATAGATATAGGCAGTGGTAGCTGGCAGTAGGTACTATCTTTTTTTTTTTAACGTTGGGAAATGCATTTACGCACGACGTGTGGGACTCACCGGCGTAATACAGCCAGTACTACCCACTAAAACCCAACAAAACCTTCCCCCGTCTTAATGGGGCGTCGCAGGATCGCTTACGCATTCAACTACGACGCCCCGACGGCAGGTCTGCCGAAGCAGACCACCACAACCATGGGGTTGCTCCAAGGTCCACTCTGCTATCAGAGAAGTACCAGGAGCAACCCGCATGGTACACCGCCCTCCGAAGAGGGCCACCTCCCACCGCCCACCGAAGTGGGCAACCTCCCTGTGCGTTTCTTAGCTTTAGCTCAGAGATGAGATGTTTTTCCGAAGTAAAAAGTCTAATGTTGACCCGGATTATCAGCTATCCGCATATCAAATTTTATTAAAATCTGTCCAGTAGTTTTTTCGTGATGCGGTCACAGACAGACAGACAAAAATTATAAAAACTCGTTTCTAAAGATTCAACCTCTGTATCGATAATAATATCGATTTCAATAAGATTTTCAAAAAAAATGTTTAATGTACAGATTCGGCTTAGTTTGAATTTTATTAGGAATGATAGATAGATATCTTCATCCTATCCTTAAAAAGATCAGTATTGATTTGAGCAACACAAGAAAATAAAGGATAAGCGGCTTTCCTAACTAGTAATTAACGCTTAATCGTTAGGGTACGAAAAGTTTTTAATTGACTTTTCGCCCTCGCACCTCCGTGATCGTTTCAAACAGATAATTGGTGATTCACTTTCTTTTAACAAGTCGTGCGAAAAGGAGGGCTTATTCAATTTTAACCTGCTGTTTTCACGGCTTGAAATATATAAGCTTTTTATCTATCCTAATGAATTAAGTGGGGAGTTTGTTAAACTTGGAACAAAGTAAGAGTAAAATATATTAGTATTAGTTAGTTGAGAAGTGTTGCTTTCTTAGCCAGGTTGAAATTGCGCTTTTTTATAACTAATATGTTTTAAAGATTTTAAATATGAACAACTAGCGACTCGCCGTCCGCGTCGCTCCGCTCGGCTTCATCCCTCCTTATGTTTTAATTTTTGGTATAGATTTCTCAGAGATGAGATATTTTCCCGCAGTAAAAAGTATCCTATATGTTGACTCGGATAACCAGCTATCATCATACCAAATTTCATCAAAACTACTCCAGTGAGTTTTCTGTGACGCGGTCACAGACATACAATCAGACAGACAGATAAATTCTGATAAAAATCTAAAAACTATATATTCCGTCTCTGTATCGATAATAATGTTTATTTCAATAAGATTTTCAAAAAAATATTTAATGTACAGATTCGGCTTAGTTACAATTTTATTATAATAAATTTATTTTTTAAATGTTTATGACATGAAGAGATTACCTTTGGCTCTATCGCAATATATATTAGTTTTAGTAGCCCTGAATTGCAGCCGTTGCTTTGACATAATATATAATAATCAATTTAACTTAATCATTATAAAAGAAAACTAATTAAATGGTATAAAAAAATAATTATTATTAATTATTGAAATAATTAGATATGTTTATTACTTACCGCTATTTTTATTTTTTTACTTCTTCGGCTATTGCATATTGAAATCTTTATTAGTTTGAACAATAATAAAATTTACGTGTTACATAAACATTGCGAGAAACAATAATAATGCAAGGAACTACGTTCCAAAATCATTTATCGATATAACATAGCCTGTATACTATTATAGCTTTTCTTAATAAATAAGCTATGAAAACAAACAAAATTAAATATGACTTGTAATTTTACACAATTAAAAAGAAACAAACTCTTTAGCTTTACAATATTTGTAAAGAAATATTAGTACAATATTAGTACACTAGCGGCTCACTCTCACTTCGTTCGGGGTCGCCTCTAGTAAAACAAAAACAAACCTATCCCACGGGAACCGTACATTTTTCCGGGATAAAAAGTAGTCTACGTGTTATTCCAGACTATAATCTATCTCTATGAAAAATTTCATTCAGATTTGTTCAGCCGTTCTGACGTAAAAGAGCAGCAAACATCCATACTCACAAACGTTCATATTTATAATATTAATACGGATACAATATAATTTATAATATTATATAATAATACGGATTATGCGTGCAAAAGTTGGCTACAGTGAGTCTAAATTATTACAACCATTCCGAGCCATATATTAATCATGGGTTAAGACTTAAGATAGCAGTATTTATCCTCAACAAAACACAACATCGTGTAAACAAGTCTCCAATCTCCATAATAGTCGTATGATGGTCAGTTATCATGTGACCGTTGACACAAGCGGCCGTCTATCAATGGAGCTCTTATATTTTATTAGTGCATTTTTAATAACAGGGTCTACAGCTAATTGGGCTGCTGATTATGGACCATTCAAATCTGTTTTATATTCAAATTGGATATCATGTGAGTGTTTTAGTTTTATTTTTCATGCACAGGTATGTAGAGTAAGGTTGCTCAGATTTTTTTGCGAGGTCATTGCTACTTCCTTAAGAAAACTTGTTGTGATATGATGTTATATTTTTTTATGTATCATTCAATAGGTGATAATGACTTATTTCTTTTGATTGTACGCACTACGTTTCAATTTCTATCTGTCTAAATATTAGTAAATGACCTTCAGTGACCTTTACTATGTATAGAAAGGCTCGTACAAAGCAATGATTCAACTCAGTTTTGTAGACAATGTTATTGTTACTTTAATTTGAGATCATATTAAATATTGGGTTAATTATTGTCACTCAAGTTCTAGTAGGATGATATAGACATAGGACATTGGAGTTATATAAACATATATCACTACACTCTCTCCCTCTTTCTTCCTCGGCTCATCTTCACAAGTACATGACAAAATATTTTCTAAAGTCCTAATTTAATTAATTAGTAAAATAAAAAAAAATTAAACACTTATTAGATCTACTAGCGACTCACAATCGCTTCGCTCAGGTTGGTACATTTTAACGCTTAATTTGGAATAGATGGACTATACATATATTAGTATATACATACATAGATATACATAGATATAATGAGTTATATATCCCTTACTTGAGAAATGATTAATACCCCATACAAACATCCATCTCCCTTTTCTTTTTAAGGGATGATTTCCGGGATAAAAAATATTCTATGTCTTTCCATATAAACTGCGCAAGTAAAGCTTTATGTGATAATATACTTTGATTCTTTCTGTACAAACATTAATAATAACAGTAATCGCAATAAATGAAATATTAATTTAATTATTCATAGCAAATGGATGGGAATGATTTGTAATAACAATATTATCAGATCATTTATTACTTATTATTAATTTATGGTGCTGTAAATTATGAAACGCGTCAGCAATAAATTACATAGATGTTGTATTTATTGTCTTGGCTTACAAAATTACCACAAATTATTTTATCTTCTTAAATTTGTGCTGTCTAGTAGATGCAAATTTGTCTGCCACATATTATAACATTCAAAATGCTAATTATTGGAAGAAAAGTTTGACATAGCTTGTAAAATGCTGTAAATTTTGCTATTCAATGGGTATAGTAATATAGTTCTAAAAGTGCTATTATTTTTATTTTCAGGTGACCACAATAAAACTGACGATTTGATTGTGAATGAAACACAGGTCTATTTTTACGATTTCCAAAACAATTTCAACTTGAGTTATACAATTGATGGTGCTGTGCAAGCATTCACGAATGTTTATAACCTAGATGTTTCGAGACGTCTCATCGTATTCGTTCCAGGGTATAAATCACACATTATAAAAAGCGCATCAGAAATTATTCGTGCAGCTTTCAAAGATGTGCCAAATATATATTTAATTATAATAGATCACTCAATGTATACTTCAGCTAACGGAGGAAAATTAAAAAGCTATGAGCGATCAGTATTTTATGCTTATTATTTGGGAAAAGCTGTAGGAGAATTACTTGTGAGACTTAGAAATTTGGGATTTTCATCTCAGAACATACATTGTATTGGTCATAGCTTAGGAGGACAAATTCTGGGATACGCAGGAACAACCTACTTTAATACAACTGGAGAGAAGGTCTCGCGGATCACAGGTATTGATCCAGCCGGACCTTGTTTTTCTAATGCATTCATTCAAGAGCAACTGAGATCAGGAGTTGCCAACTTTGTAGAGGTATATCATTGTAACGCCGGAAATTTGGGCACCACAAGTGTTTTGGGAGATGCAGATTTTTTCTTTAATGACGGAAAGATTCAACCTCATTGTGATGCTAATTTCTTTTCGAGCCTTGGAGATTCTGAGGCAAAGTGCAGTCATAAGTCATGTGTGACATATTGGGCAGAAACTGTACACCATCCAGGATGGTACTTAGCATGGAAGTGTGATTCTTATAAAGAATTCTCCAAGGGTAAATGTTCTGCCAATGAAGTGACGATTGCTGGATACTCAAATCCAGGGAATGCCACCGGTGTATTCTATGTATCTACAGAAACCTATGGAGTATTTTAAGTTTAAACATTTTTCAAACATCATAATAATATTTCTTTTATAAAAAAATATGTATATAGTAATTTTTACTTAGAGCGAGGCGTTTAAATTACTTAATAAAAATGAATGTGCACAAAGATTTTGTTTTATTAAATCATTTATTACATTTGTTCTTAATAACCAAAAAGACATGTATTCATAGAACTACTACAAATAAGCCATCATATATGAAAAGTAAATTGTACTCTTTTATACACTAAAAGATGATTTAGCTCATATTTCAACGTTTCCACTTCCATTTGCGGTATTATACTCAGTGTTAGATTTATGTCCCCGATCGCAATAAAATATTCATAGTAAGAAAAGTATTACCTTAATTTATTACTTTGAAACTAAGGGATTTATCGAGGCCGATAGTTTTTTTTTCATTTAATCCGAGTAAATTACATTGATCTTCCTGTATATAAAATAAACTATGAAATTTTGTTTTAGTAAAAAATACGTTAAAGACTTTCTTATTATTCCAATTATGGTTCAAAGAAAAATTGAATTTTAAGTTTATCCAAAATTTACATTAGAATTAATGCTTGAATATTACTTTTGATTTACCCATTTTTATTTACCAAATTTAAACAAATGTTCGCTTAGGAAATATTTGAACAGAAAAATAAAATCGAAAAGGAGAGTAAGAAGACTAGTGAAAGAGAGAGAAAGACTAGTGACTAGTTAATAATGACATTAAATAGTGATGATAAGTAAGGTCTAAGAATAAACGTATTAATAAAAGAATATTATCAACATTTTAGATACTTTTCATCTCGGAAAATTAAAGAGTTCCCGTGAGATAGTTAAAAATCTATAGTAACTTATACAGCTTAGTACACAAATGTCCGGTTAAAAAATAACAATTCCTTGCAATTGCTTAAACAATTTCTGTGCAAACAATATGGCACGGGGTTGCCCCATGATAGCATGCATTTATATCATCAGTAGGGCAAATTGAAGAGGATCGCATAAAAAAATTGAGGTGGAATAGTTTTCGGTGCACATGCGCCGATTCCTCCTGGACTATAAACGTGTCAATATCAATAATTTAAAAAACGCATTTTTTAAAATAGTAACTATTACTTAAATTAGTATAAGCGACATAATATAATATTAAGGTCGTAGTTATGAATCACGTACAGTCTCCATCATGTTACACTTGAGTTATGTGTTAAGGAAAAAATAAGAGGAAAAAGTTATCTACAGGCAGGTACATTACCGATATCCACTCTTGCAATTTTGTTTCTGAGACAGCAATAAGTCATACTTTTCGATGTTCGTTTTATACAATAATTGGGAAGTCTATACTAATATTATAAATGTGAAAGTTTGTGAGCATGGATGTTTGTTACTCTTTCACGCCATAACGGCTGAACAGATCTGGGTGAAATTTGGCAAGGAGATAGATTATAGTCTGGAATAACACATTTACTAATTGACGACACGTTTGGCTCAGTTTGTAGTGACCCTACTTGCTGTGCCAGCGGTCGCGGGTTCGAGTCCCGCTGGGGGTATTTATTTGTGTGATGAGCACGAATGTCTGTACTCCAGTCATGGATGTTTATATCTATAATATTATGTATGTATTTAAAAGTCATATACGAGTGTGTAGTGTATCAACTATCTGGTAACCATAACACAAGCCTCATAGCTTACCATGGAACTAGATGGCGCTGTGTGTTAATGTCCCAAAATATATAAATGTCCCAACATATATACTAATTACTTTTTATTCCGGAAAAATGTTCCCGTAGTATCCTACGGTTCGTTTTTGATTTTTTTCCATTTTAGATTTTTAACTTTAATGATTTAGTCTTTCTAACATACTTGTTTTTCTCAGACCTGCAGGTTTCCTTAGCATATTTTCTTTCAACGTAATAATAATTTGCCAAAAATTAGATAATAATAACTATTGTATTGTGTTCTATGAAGTTATTTTACAGTTCATATGTCCGTTCAGATTAAATATTCTCTTCTTTTTTTGAGGTAGTTAAAACGCAGAGTAGCACTTACAACTCTCTTCAATTAACGAATCGAAAGGATATGTATTTAAATTCTATATTAGCTATATATGTGTAGTGTATCAACTATCTGGTATCCATAACACAAGCCTCGTAGCTTGGAACTAGATGGTGTTGTGTGTGAATGTCCCAACATATTTATATTTACGTCGATTTTTATATCAAAAAATGCAAGTTGTACTGTGATTTTTGTTACAATATTTGCATTAATGTTATTACTATAGAAATAGAACTAAAAAGGTCTTGTATATAGACCCTATTTCGTTTTTAATTTACGATTCGACTAAGTTTTTGGGAATTTGAAGTTGTATATTTTACTATGTACATATTTTAGGGCTATCTATTTCAGTTCCAGAAATTAGAGCCGTTTAAATGTAGGGCAGCTATTTAGACGGACAGACAGAGTAGGCTCTTTAATAGGGATTTACTTGTAGCTATGTATAGGACCCTAGGTTCCTATTTTATATAGTTTAAGTAATTTAATTTCTTTATTTATGACTTCAATACCGCAACACTGTTAAATTATTTCATTGAAAATTAATAGCACTACTATAACAAGTTACAAGTGCCATATAAAGCACATATTAGTGGTTCGAATGCATTCTCTTAATGCACTACGCGTTAAGGAAGACACACCATAAATTGTGTTTCTGCTAGTGATGGGACACGCGAGACTTGATATTTATTATAATTGGTTAACTATTTACTATGAATACTTATTAATACGTATTTGACAAGTAGGTTTTAGTAGGAATCGATAAACATGTACTTTTATTATTGTACTATATTATGCAAGAATTTAAACATATTTATATAATTTTTAGCTCCTCAAACATTTTTCGTAATTATTTATGGCAATTTTTAAATGGACGCATCTTCGAATTTGAAAAAAAAAATTTTTTATAAATATTCAGCTATAAGATGTAATTAGATTTTAAATAGATTATATAATTTATTTAATATATACAACTATTTACTTCCACTGTTTTAAACTGTTTGTCCTGATTCATAAACACCTGATTCATTAAACCAAGCTGTCGAGTCCATAATGCTATATGCAAGTCATGTTATACTATGAGTACACACATACTTAACAAAATGAAGACAAAAAATGATATAAATCAATAATATATTCGAAATTGAGGTAAAAAAACTTTGTTTAATATATAATTGTATTGGACAAAACATATTGTAAAGGGAGTTTCTTAGTTTAGAGTTAGCTGTCGGTGGCTTGAATAAAAGTTATTGCCACAGGCAGTAGTTTTTATACTTTTACTAATAAAATATATAAAAATAATAATAATCATCTTATTGAAATCGATGATTTTTAGCCATACACAACCCTAGTAATACATTTACCGCTAATGTGTTCCGGCAAATAATTGAGTGCAGTTGTTTCGAAACGCCTACGTTTAGTGTTAATGATACTTGAGACTAACAGTTGAGCTATTAACTATGTGAGGCAGTTTAAATATTTTATGCGATAGTTTACCTGAAAAAGCACATTGCATTTTGTAAAAACGCCTATCGTAACATGTCCTAGTTTTTGTTAGCGTGAAAGATTTGTTGTCCTATGCAGGAATATGGCCACTAAAATATTTAGAATAAATTGTATGAGTATTCATATCTATTTATTTAAATCTCCAAAACATATATGTAGCGAGGGAACTTAAGAGTCTAAATCTTAGACAAAATGTAATTTTATAATCTTCAAAGAATAGAAATCCAAAGAACACAGTACAAAATGAGTATTGTAAATATTTTTCTAGATGAGGTAAAACGCGAAAATTGGTGAAAATGATACTTTCACCACTCAGTATCAAGATAGTCTAATTATTATTATTATAGGTAAAATAATTCAGCAGTAAGCTTGTAGTATATTACTTATCCAGTGATAGTTTCAAGTTAATCTAATTTGCCGGAATGATTTCACGGTACACGAGCTCTAGAGCGTTAGAGTTTATAGCTTACCTGGATCGCCTAAGGCCTATAGCAAAATATTATGCTGGGAGGCTACTTCTTAAGTAGGTATGTATTTTAAATGAACTTGTACTATGTATATTGTATAGAATAGCGACCTGTTAGGTCTTCGTTATACTTTGATCTTAATTGTACTCTATGAAATGAAAAAGTCCTATATCCTACAGGAACCTCTAACTCACGGGATCATACCTTTTTTGGGAGTAAAAGTAGTTTATTTCCTTTTCAATATCGCCTAATTTCCGCTAGAAAACTTCCGCTTAAATAATTTAAGTCATACCAGCTTAATATTAGTAGCTATTTTGAAATCACAGATAGACATATTAATTTTAGTTATATTTTTATATTATGTGTACGTTTAGTAAATATTTTTCAGAGATGAGATATTTTCCCGCAGTAAAAAGTATCCTACGTGTTGACCCGGATAACCAGCTACCATCATACCAAATTTCATCAAAATCCCTGCAGTGGTTTTTTAGACAGACCGACGAACCAAAATTCTAAAAACTATAAATTCAGCCTCTGTATCTATAATAATAATGTCAATTTCAGGAAGATTTTCCAAAAAAATATTTAACGTACAGTTTCAGCTTAGTTACAATTTTATTATATGTATACATGTCAATTTTATAGATACACTTATTCTCACTTCATTCGGGTACATCCCTAATATGCCTAGCATAAACTTATGTGTTACTCCTCATAAGGAAGTAAAAAAAACACATACAAACAAACTTTAGCCTTTATAATTTACAAGTATAATATCACTCAATTTAAAATGACATTTCAGTAACAAGTATCAAACAACATAAACTGAAAATTCACCCGGTCATACAATTCTGTCGTATCGAATTTTACATTTCGGCCCTATTATCCCGGTGTACGCATAATGAAACCGTGTAACCACAAACCGGTTAGGGGTCGTTGTTTATACACATACACCTGTGCTCAATCACTATTAAATCTAATCTC